GTCCGGAATGACAAAGGGTGGCAGCTAGGAAGTAAATGGGTTGGGGAGGGGCCAAATGGGAAAAAAGAGGGTGGGGAAGGGTGGGTTTGGGAAAAAGTTGGGGATGGGGGGTTGCATATAAACAACACATCAGTCACACAATTCACCATCAATGATATGCTAGAATACCCCAGATTATTGACTAATTTGTCCAACTGTGACATTAACAAAATAAAGTCATCACCTCAGAGCAACTCCAGTGACATAACTATCAATCTCAGTATGACTTGAAATACTTGAGATTTATTTATGGAAATTAGCAAGAGGGGTGGGGGATTCGGGGAGGAGGGGTGGGACTTGGGGGAATGAAAGGGAAGGAGAACAAGGGTAAAAGAATGGGAAATGGGGCAGGAGGGTTGAGATTTGAGATTGGCATGGTGGTGTATTCAACATACCAATCACATAGACTAATCAATGATATACCCAGACTACCCCAGGAAACTAATTACATTGACCAAATAACCTTGGTATAGTATTGCTTCGGACGGCTGCGATTTATGAATGGAGGATGGGCAAATAGGGATCACAAGGCAAAGTGGGGGATGGGAAGTGGTGGCAAGAGGGGTACAAGCTAAGTAAATCTGGAATGGAGTTTATATGAAGAGTACATCAATCACAGAACCTAATCACAATAATACACAAAGAAGACCCCAGGAAATAAATATATACTGGCTGCAAAAGGCTAACATATAAGTCCACCAATTAATGATAACGCCAGTGACATAACGCTGGTATAATTCAATATGACTGGAGTTCCTGAGATTTGTTGAGATGGGGGAGGGAAACCTGAAGGGGGAGTAAAGGTGTGGGGTAGTAATCAAGTAGGGAGGGGTGGTGTATAAAGGGAGGGGTGGTATGTAGGGAACATATCAGTCATACTCATATGACCCTGTAGCAATAATATGCCCAGAATATCACAAGAAATCAACTAATGTGGTCCAGATGCAAAACATTAGTATCCATGGTAATAAAGTCACCAAATAATATAAAGTCCACATAGTAAACTTCAATACTAATAGTACTTGAAATAATTAGAATTTACTTAAGTGGAATCAGGGGCCAGCAAGATGCCTCAACAGATAAGGGTGCTTGCTGCCAAGCTGGACAACCTGAATTGGATCTTTGGAACCCATCTTGTGGAAGGAGAAGACCAGTGCCTACAAGTTGACCTTTGACCTCCATAAACTCATGGCAGGACAGTGGTGTTCATTCCTCCCCACACAAAATAAATGGAGAGAGAGTGAGAGTAGAGGGACATTTGGGGGCAGGAAAGAGTGTGAAGGGGGAGACTGAAGGGTAAGAAGAGAGGTTGGGGCTGGTGTGTCTTTGGAATAGGGTTGTGCATAAAGAATATGAATCACATAAGTCACAGTTGATGATATGCCCACAACAACCAAGGGGTCAACTGTATTCCAGCTGCACGATATTAGCAGACAGAATAAAGCCAACAATTAATAGTGACTTTAGTAATCATAAAACACTATTAATGGAATACTTGAGATTAATTCGAGTGGAGACAGAGGGACCCTGAGGAGAGTAGGGGAGAGTAGTGAAGTCAAGAAAGAGAAGATTAAGAATGAGGAGGGGGTTGTTACATTTTAAAAAATGTCAATTACACAACTCTGGATCAAGATACACAATACTCCAGGATATCAACTGATTGGAATCATTGCACATTATCATGCATGAAACAATACCTTGGGTAGCAAAGAAATCATAGTTTCTCCTGTGCCATAATACATTTTTATCTTTAGTATCAATATTGGAATAGTTGAGGATTATTGATTAGAGTGAAGAGGGTAGTATAATGGAGAGGAAGGGGGAGAGATAGGGCAGGGGGAGAAAGAGAGTGGAGAAAGTGAGAGATGGAATTGGATGGGAAAGGTGGGACGTTGAGATCTGAGGGTGTATAAAGAACACATCAGTCACAGTCCAGATCAATTATATGTTCACAAACTCCAAAAAAGTAACTATATTGCAGTTGTAAACTATTAGCATATTAATAATAAGGTCATCAATATTGGCTTCATTGAAATATTTACTACATATTGAATATTAATATCACTTGATATTTTTAAGTTAGTAATAGGTGGAAGAGTGAAAGAGGAAAAAAAACAAGAGGAAGGGGTGTAGAAAATCAAGAATTGGAAGGGTGGGAGGTGGGAAGAGGAGGGCAATGCATAACAGATATGTCAATCACACAACCAAAGGACCAATGACAATCAATCAATACATCTGACAATCAATACATCTGACAATCAATCAATACATCTGACAATCAATCAACACATCTGACAATCAATCAACGCATCTGACAATCAACACATCTGACAATCAACACATCTGACAATCAATCAACACATCTGACAATCAATCAACACTTCTGACAATCAATCAATACATCTGACAGTCACTCAACACATCTGACAATCAATCAGAACATCCGACAACCAATCAACACATCTGACACTCAATCAACACATCTGACAATCACCACATCTGACAGTCAATCAACACATCTGACAGTCAATCCACACATCTGACAGTCAATCAATACATCTGACAATCAATTAACACATCTGACACCCAATCAACACACCTGATAATCAATCAATACATCTGACAGTCACTCAACACATCTGACAATCAATCAGAACATCCGACAACCAATCAACACATCTGACACTCAATCAACACATCTGACAATCACCACATCTGACAGTCAATCAACACATCTGACAGTCAATCCACACATCTGACAGTCAATCAATACATCTGACAATCAATTAACACATCTGACACCCAATCAACACACCTGATAATCAATCAATACATCTGACAGTCACTCAACACATCTGACAATCAATCAGAACATCCGACAACCAATCAACACATCTGACACTCAATCAACACATCTGACAATCACCACATCTGACAGTCAATCAACACATCTGACAGTCAATCCACACATCTGACAGTCAATCAATACATCTGACAATCAATTAACACATCTGACACCCAATCAACACACCTGATAATCAATCAATACATCTGACAGTCACTCAACACATCTGACAATCAATCAGAACATCCGACAACCAATCAACACATCTGACACTCAATCAACACATCTGACAATCACCACATCTGACAGTCAATCAACACATCTGACAGTCAATCCACACATCTGACAGTCAATCAATACATCTGACAATCAATTAACACATCTGACACCCAATCAACACACCTGATAATCAATCAATACATCTGACAGTCACTCAACACATCTGACAATCAATCAGAACATCCGACAACCAATCAACACATCTGACACTCAATCAACACATCTGACAATCACCACATCTGACAGTCAATCAACACATCTGACAGTCAATCCACACATCTGACAGTCAATCAATACATCTGACAATCAATTAACACATCTGACACCCAATCAACACACCTGATAATCAATCAATACATCTGACAGTCACTCAACACATCTGACAATCAATCAGAACATCCGACAACCAATCAACACATCTGACACTCAATCAACACATCTGACAATCACCACATCTGACAGTCAATCAACACATCTGACAGTCAATCCACACATCTGACAGTCAATCAATACATCTGACAATCAATTAACACATCTGACACCCAATCAACACACCTGATAATCAATCAATACATCTGACAGTCACTCAACACATCTGACAATCAATCAGAACATCCGACAACCAATCAACACATCTGACACTCAATCAACACATCTGACAATCACCACATCTGACAGTCAATCAACACATCTGACAGTCAATCCACACATCTGACAGTCAATCAATACATCTGACAATCAATTAACACATCTGACACCCAATCAACACACCTGATAATCAATCAATACATCTGACAGTCACTCAACACATCTGACAATCAATCAGAACATCCGACAACCAATCAACACATCTGACACTCAATCAACACATCTGACAATCACCACATCTGACAGTCAATCAACACATCTGACAGTCAATCCACACATCTGACAGTCAATCAATACATCTGACAATCAATTAACACATCTGACACCCAATCAACACACCTGATAATCAATCAATACATCTGACAGTCACTCAACACATCTGACAATCAATCAGAACATCCGACAACCAATCAACACATCTGACACTCAATCAACACATCTGACAATCACCACATCTGACAGTCAATCAACACATCTGACAGTCAATCCACACATCTGACAGTCAATCAATACATCTGACAATCAATTAACACATCTGACACCCAATCAACACACCTGATAATCAATCAATACATCTGACAGTCACTCAACACATCTGACAATCAATCAGAACATCCGACAACCAATCAACACATCTGACACTCAATCAACACATCTGACAATCACCACATCTGACAGTCAATCAACACATCTGACAGTCAATCCACACATCTGACAGTCAATCAATACATCTGACAATCAATTAACACATCTGACACCCAATCAACACACCTGATAATCAATCAATACATCTGACAGTCACTCAACACATCTGACAATCAATCAGAACATCCGACAACCAATCAACACATCTGACACTCAATCAACACATCTGACAATCACCACATCTGACAGTCAATCAACACATCTGACAGTCAATCCACACATCTGACAGTCAATCAATACATCTGACAATCAATTAACACATCTGACACCCAATCAACACACCTGATAATCAATCAATACATCTGAC